ATGTTAATTCTTTCAAAAGAAAATGAGTTATTTACCTATTCCAATATATAATCACTACTAATTTAACCCTAAACTTAATTCGGGCTTAACACGAACCTGGTGAATTTAAGGTTAGAATGTTAGGATATAAAGATAAACTGTTACTCACTATATGTAAAATTTCATTTTAATTAATACACAATCATTTTAACTTTTTCTTTCATCAATTATCATTTTAGAAAAAACAGCGTTTAACATGCGAGTAATACAAACCTCGAAAAATAAAATCAGAGTGTATCAGCCCGACATGAATTTCGAACATATGCGAAAGAAGAAAAAATTCAAAAACTAGTGTTTAAATCGACCTTGTGCACTAATTAAAAATGTTGAGAACATATAACAAGCAACAGTATATTGTTATAGCCTCTAATGTTAATACCCTAACCCTAAATTGCTATCTTTGTGTATTTAGTTTATTAATACATATCTATAGTGCGAGCAATCTAGTTATATCAAATATAATTGTAATATAAAATTAAAATTGCAAAAACTTTATATATTAAACTATATAGTTAGTTTACAAATAAAAAAAAATTTAACCAATCAAATTCAATTTATAAGCATACATATTATAAATAAAAACTCACTCACCCCCACTTAAAATTTTTATACACTTGTTATAGTTTAGAAAACTTTTTTCTTTCACAAACCCGCCCACCCTTATGAAGTTTTTTTTTTTTTTTTTTTTTCTTATCAAATCCTAAGAGTCTGAGCCTCTAACGTAAGTTTACTTTATAATAATGTGGGGACGTTTTAATTTAGTGACCTCATTTGCACCCAACTTACCCTTAAAAATTATACCACAAAAAAATTTTATATAAACCAGCACATTTTACATATTTGTTTTTTATTTATAATAGATGGAAACGAACCAACATCCAAAAAAAGAACTGTTGAAAAAATTCAACAGAGAAAGAAACAATTATATAAGTATATACTTGCTGAACATTGCATGCCTAGTTAGCAATCCGGGTGTAAGTCACGCTGGTGGTTAAGTGAGATATCAGGACTGCTTTTCGCTGATATAATCGCCTACTGTAGACTCGTGTGCATGGTTATAGGGCAAAATCACAGATACGTACCAATCATAAACACGATGATAGCATGGTGTGCTTATGTTTTTTTTTATTTTTTATTTTTTTTAGAAAAATGATAAATGTTACAAATACAAACAATCTATCATTGAAATATGTCGAAACACGCCCAGGTTTCAAGTTGAAGAACATTTTAATAATGATGATGATGAATTAACTGATAATCTAATCGACTGCCCAATCGACACTGACTGTGACAAAGATGTCCTCGTGAAATTTGAAAAATTCAAAATTCTACTTCGATGCAAATTTTGAAGCAGAAATAAGGTCGGTTATAATGATGTAGAATGATTATCCTCAGTAGTCAAAACTAGAGCTATAGGTGAAACTAAATCACACTGGTGAAATTGGTGACTATCTAAAATCTGATTGGCTGTTGCATTCAATAGCCAATCAGATTTTAGATAGTTACCAGTTTTACCAAGTTTCACCAAGTTTCATCAATTTTACCAGCAACTCTAGTCAAAACCTACCATGATGATCATTTAGGTGCAATAGTTATCAATCTAGGATGCTTAACCAATTTTAAAAGCGTAACCCCCCAGATGAAAGTTATACTATGTCACACATCAAATTTTATTAAAAAAATTATTGACAAAGTAAGATATTTGAGACAAAGAGCCAGTGAAGGTCATGAAGAAGACCAATTAGTGATAGCCGAAGTTTTAAATGAGGTTTCAGATGAATAAAAGGTTGTAAATAATATAGAATTAATTTTATCATTATTAATAATTATATTTTAATTTTATAATTATGTATATAGTATAAATTTTAATTAATGTAATGAGTTTTTTTTATTAATTTTTAATAAATAAAATTCAAATATATAATTTGCTATTTTAAAATTTCACCAAATAATAAATTATAATTTTTCGATCTCTTGCGGCACTTATATCGTTGAAGGATCACTATCTAATTACTTTTCACCCACCCATTTTTACTAATTAAATTTTTTTTTTCATCCTTTGGAATGGATCGAAGAAGAAAAATATTAATGTTATACTTCACAAGAACTTCTTGTTAACTTTTAAAACTTGAAAAAAATGAACCTGGATCAGACAGTAGAAAGTATGAGCCGATATACTTTCTTGAATCTTGGAAAAAACAGATCAAAAGGTAAACAGAAGCACTTTACAAAAACACTTTGCCGATTCTAAAATCTTAAATTGAATTAGACGATGGACAAGCATGAGCAAGATGCACTTTAAAGAAATATCTCGCTAACTTCTTTGGATCTTGAAGATGTCAATTTAGGCAAGTATTGGAAACATCTATTCATTTAAGTATTTAACAATGTTCATGAATATTTACTATTAAATTTTTTTATTCGTTTTAATTTAGTTTAAGTATGTAGAAAAAATTTTATTAATCAAAGATTTTTATTATTACAATTTAATTTTTTTTATTTGGTTAATTTAGATATATATGAAGAAACATTTTATTAATCTAAGTACGTATTTAAATTGGCTATTTAATTTTTCTTTATTCGCATTTAGATGGGTATAAAAATCTAATTTTTTTTATTGCATTAATTTAGATGTATATGTTGTGCGTCAGATTAAAATTTGCATCAGATTTAAATTTAAATGCAGAGTTTTTTAGGGTTAGGGTGGGTGACTAGAGATGGGCAAGGTAATAAAATACGTAATCATTACTTATTTTTTACCCCCCTTACTAACTATTACTAATTATTATGTATTGTTGAGATTGCATAGTGATTATTAATTATTACGTATATATTGT